CCGGGAACCGAACTCACGACCTTGCGCTTGCCAGGCAGGCGCTTTTGCCACTGAGCTAAATCCCCAGCCCCACATTTTATGTTTAATGTATCCTCCCACATTGCAGGAGCTGGGTGCTGGCCAAAGTCACATACTGTGGAAGCCTCCTGAGCTAGGACCTGGACCCAAGAAGCAGAATCTTTCTCTGCTGAACTATCTCTCCATTCCTCTTCACTGACAAATCTTTGGTGTGAACATATTTTAAAAATGGTGGAAACTTCCTATTTTAATTTCTCAGAGTTTGAAAGGGTTGTGTATTTGGAAATTAGAGATAGTAAGGTGATAACCAGCAAAAACTCTAGTGGCCATTGTTAGCAAAAAAGTTGAAGAGTCCTGATGCACTGATGCATGGCATAGTGCATAAGAAGGAGAGCAAATGCGCTTATCGGCAGCATGGGAGAGTCTCATAAACAGAGCTGAATGAGAGATCCATGCAGAAAGAACACTGTCTGGGTCATTTCAATATGTAAAACTGAAAACCCAGCAAAATGAGTGGTGACCGTTAGACGAAGGAGACCGGCACCCTTTTGTGTATGTGTAACAGGGATGGTGCTTGTGACAGAGAGAAGAACATCAGCGATGTCTTATGACCTTTGCCAAAATGAAATGACACCTGTGTGACATCCCAAATTACCCTTGGTGTGCAGGATGGGCTTTCCTGTCCCCAAAAAGGCTTAGGGAACAGACTTCTCCAACTCCCACTGCCCAGCTGAAGCCTAAGAGGCCCACTGCCAAGCTGATGCACTGTGTCCGACATGGCACAGAAAAAGTGGGTGGAGAGAGAGTGCATATAACCTACCATGTCCTCTTCACACAATGCCAGGCTGGTTGTAACGGCCCTTAGCCTCAAACAATGGGTGTGCTGTTGCTTGTGCTGCTTCTGGGTCTGCTCATCTCTCACCTAGGACTCTGCCTGTGGGCCATCTTTAGGCATTTCCTCACCACAGATATTCCCTCTGCCATGCAACATCAAGTGAAGATGAGAGTTCTGCACTGCATAATGCTATATGTGATCAGTTTGGTAAGTTTACTCTCAGGCTCCATTGTGAGCTGGGAGTGCTGTCTCTGTACTTTTCCTCACATTCCCTCTTCCATTTCTCTTCTCAGCTCAGCTTCCTCCAAGGAAGAATTCACC